GCAGCCTAGGCGGAGTAGTCGAACGCAGATCCACTGAGCTCTCAACACAGACAGCATCGTCAGAAGGAAAGTTGATAAAATGAATTAAACATTTGTACTGTTCGATACATATGCGTATGAACCGAAAGCACTGTATCGAACGGTTCAATATCGATACGAGTATCGTTCCACCCCTAATATATATCTATCTATATATATATATAGATAGAAAGATAGATAGATAGGTCGTCTGGTTGGTTGTTCTGGATTTACATTGCTTCTCATCATCATCACATCTGTTAGTGAATTCCCGGCCTGCAGTGGTCCGTATCTATCAAAAGTACTCCAAAGAAGGAACAGTGGTCAACCAGTGACAGGGTCATGGCTATATCACACTTCTTCAGAAACATTTTGCTCTTAGTCTGTCTGAAAGAAATTTCAACCAATCAAAAGTTATCACATGTATTTCTGGGGTTCTGAGTAAGTGAAGGTCAGGATGAGTGGCTGTCATATTTTAGTGGACTCCTGCTTGCTCCAGTCTGTGTGTAGGTGGACATAAACACACACACAAACAGACTGGCGTGTTTTGTTTTTTTTGTTTGTTTTTATTATCTTTGAGAGGACATCTATTGAATTAATACAAATTCCTTTAACCAGCTCCACCATATTCTGATAGATAGATGCCAATTTATAGAAAATTATAACAGTTGAAGCCATTATATATCATTCAAACTGCATCAGCCTACAATTGAGTCTGCAGTGTGTTCGGTAGTGACTGCTCCTTTAGTGTGCCAGTGTCGCCATCTGCTGGACAGGACCAGTGTGGCTGCCAGCTAAATACAGTTGCAGCTTGTTATCAACTGCAGTTGCTGAGAACACAAGAAAGCCCCTTTTGGGCTCTCACATTGTTTCCTCTGATTTTCTTGTTGCTGTGTCTGTCTCTTTCTTGCCAGTGTCAATGCTCACTCATGATTTCCAGCCTCAGTGTTCAGTCAGCCTGCATGCCTGACATTCATCCAGACACCAACAGCTATGAAATCACTGTCTACTGTTCAGTATGTTGGAAAACAGCATCAGTGTTCCTGCAAGATCCTTCAGACGTCTTAAGTCTTCAATTCAATTCAGTTTTATTTATACAGCACCAAATCCCAACATCAGTTGCCTCAAGGCGCTTTATATTTTCAAAAAAGATTTTCTTTTCACAATGTCACAAATGGAAATCAGATTATTATTCTCCTTTCTAAAAAAACAAACAAACAAAAAAACAGTTAAATTGTTACTTAAAAAGTATAAGTTTTATATAAAAGCCAATCTGGGGGGATTTCTTTGTATACAAGTAAATTTGCAGGTTTAAACTGTAACTTTTCCTCTTTTTTGTGGAAGTGGGCCAAAATTCCTTCGTAAGGACTCGAGAGACTGAGACAAAAAAACATTTACATCGAGTCGTTGCTGCTTTGACAAGCTGTTGAATCGTGGGAGCATTTTTTTATTCTTTAATTTATTTATTTTTTACACGTTGTTTCTGCATCTCTGCTTTATTTTTGCTAAATAAATAAAGACAGGGCATAATATATAAGGAGTTGCTGTTGTTCACCTCAGACTGTTTTTATCGACTTTTATGACCTGGTACAGACTAGATCTTTTTTATTAAGTCCTGATGATAAGCAAAACCTTTTAGGTGGTACAGGGTGTGCGCTCTTTTTACTCTGGCTGTATTTTAATGACGAAACTAGACTAGACTAAGCATCGTATATCATTTTCTATTTATATACAATCTTTTCAGTTAAATTAGGCCTGTGTGTCATCATACTATACTATTCAAAGTGTATCTATGTTCTTCATTTGGCCTGGACGAGCGGATGAAACTTTGCATAAACATCGTGTAGAGTAGCGGTCCCAAACCTTTTTTGCCCCACGGACTGGTTTATGTCTGACAATAATTTCACGGACCGGCCTTTACTAAAACCAGTACCGGTACCAAAAAAAACAGAAGATTTATTCATAACACACGGAAAAAGACCCAGGAAAACAGAGTTAACGCTAAAAACTGATAAAACCATACATTTCACACCCGAGCCGGCGTGGCCCGGGGACCGCTGATCTGAAGGACACGTGAAGTTTGGAGATCTGTAGCGATTAACTCTGCAGAAACTTAGTGACCTCTGCACTTTTACACCTCAACATCTGGTGACCCCGCTCTGTGATTTCACATGGCCTACTACTTTTTGGCTGAGTTGTTGAGTTTCATCCCCAGTGGCTTCCACTTTGTTTACAACAGTTGTCTTTAGTAACGGGGAAATTTTACAATTGGAATCGTTGCACAGGTGGCATCCTATCACGGTACCACGCTGGAATTCACCGAGCTTCTGAGCGACCCGTTCTTTCACGAATGTTTGTTGAAGCAGTCCCAATGCCGAGCTGCTTGGTTTTATCCTGCGGCCACAGAAATGACTGGAACGGCTGAATTCAGTGGTTTGGATGGCTGAGTGAATACTTTTGGCAGTTCCTCGGAGAATGGCACAGTCTGAATTTGGAGTTAAATTGTTGGGATGTCCAATTTTTGAGAAGATTGTGGTTTTTACTTGGCACAAAAACTGCCCACAGTTAAGGTTTTACTAAGGTGATCACAGCAGGCTACTTCTTGGCCTCTTCATTCCCACAGAAGCAGTAAGGTTGAACTTTTCTCAAACACTACTCCTGGAATTTGGCTTGTTTTTTCTTAAATCACTAATAACACAGTGTTACATGTCATGTATTATTCATCCAAAGTTGTTTACACTTATTTTTCAGACCCGCTAAGGACCATAAGATTTTTAATATGTCCTGATACATAAAACCTTAGGAGGATGCATTTTCTTTCTCATGTGGGTAAAACAAAAAAGGTGTGAAAGGTTCCACTCCTAGGGAAGTTAGGGATCATTAAAATAGTCTGTGTGTTTTGGCAGGATGTCCCCCAGCACAAGTTTTGTAGTTCCTTCCTCCCATCAGGGCCAAATTCACAGAGTCACCTGAGGTAACCGACAAATCAACAAGTCACATGCTAGTACATAACAGGACAAATCAAAAGCCAAACAAGGTCTTTTAATACCATTTCATTCTTTTTAATGGAAATATTTACTAACAACAGTTAAATAATCTTGCCACTCCTACAGAGGTGTGAAGGATCACTGTACAGTAAGCTTTTCACAGTATTTCTTACAATATTTACATCCCCCATCATCATCTCCTTTAGCAGTGGATGAGTACATTTACAAAGTCACATCTGCAAACCAAGTGCTGTGTCCTTTTACACAGCACTCTACCTTTCAAGTCAAAGCACTTACAAAAAGTATATGTCAGCATACAAAGAAAAAAAAAAAAAAAAAAGGTCAGTTTTCTGAACAGTATTTTGTATAATCAAGTTAGTACATTCACGCACACAAACATAGTTAATCTCAAATTAAATGCAATGCAAACTGAAGCTAACTGTTTTGGTATGACTGGACTGCAACAAACTAAGTGTGGAGTGCAGATTTAGAATCAATAATAAACAAACTGATTTTAAAACAACCGTATAAAGTGACGACATTATGACAGCGAACCGTTTCAATGGCCAGCGTGGAACAGCAAATTCAGACAGCCGGTCTCAGCAGTCGACACAAAAACACATGAAATGGATGCATTTGTCTGGAAATGGGGATCAGAGTCAAGCTCATTTTCTGTTTGCTGTCACCTTACCCAGCGCCCAGTCTACAGAGAAAAAGTTGTTGCAGCATTGTGAATACGGATGCAATATTGTGTCAATATCGTGGATCAAATATCAGGTTTCGCTTTCTTGTCACGTTCGTTTTAACACTGGTTGGATGGATTTATCACAGTTGAGATGATGTGTTGACAGCTCAGTTAACGGTGTCTTATCTCACATTAGCCATCTCTGTCTCCACTCCCTGTTTGAGGAAGTGCACTCACAGACTGAGAGCAGTGAAAGACTTGTGCAAATAAATAAAGCCAAACATTTTTTATTTGGTATATTTGTCCGGGCTAGTTGTTTTTTTTTTAAATTTGTTCTATTTGGCCACATGAAATCTGATCACTGCATCTTTAATGGGTGATACAGTGGGTAAGGTGACCAAAGATCCAAACAGCTGCTAAATAAATGCAAAGATTAGTTGGAATGTGTCTTAAATTCATCTCCCACACACTCAGCGTATAAGATACAATGTTACAGGAACCTAAAATGCCTTCCCTTCAAAAAGCTGTCAGCAGCCTGTATAAGTGTCCTCTGAAGGGAATGGAGATATTCACTTGGTGCTCATGGAGTGCGAATGCCCTCTTTATCCCGGCTGATGTCCTACCTGGGTATTAGAATTGTGTGTTCAAGCAGCAAATTCACCAATTTGGCCTTTGCAAATGCACCAAGCTGATTACTTCACTGTTAGTGGCATAAAATACGTCTTTTGATAACATTTAAATAATAAAATTCACTAAGTGAAGTAAAAGACTCCTGAATATGTGCCAGTGTATGCATCAATAACTTTTAAACCCAGTGAGTTTTGTACTGTTACAATCAGTTCTTATTCACACTGAGGAGAAGAGAATTATTTTACCTAAAGTTAAGAACGATTAAAGACTTCAGATATTAACAGCACTCCTCAGAAAATCCCTCTCGGGTTAAATGTTCTGAATGAAAGCCATTAACATGCTTTAGTCCCTCTCTCCTGCAGCTCAGCTGGTGAATTATTAAGCCTTCCAGTTACACGACACCAGCAGTAGAGGACAAAGGTCAGAGCTCCCTCTTTGGTGCCAAGGAAGAGTAATACCCCATGACTTCTTTAGAAAGCTGCCAGTTCTGCTCCGCTTTTAGCCAAGTTTGGCCAACGGTGATGGAAACGAAAGGTTCCACCCCACCAGCTCTACCCTCTAGTTTTGCACTGGGATGCCCTGCAGGGACTGGGATGCCCTGCAG